TCGAGATCTACTACCCACAAACTGTTCCCACTCCAGATCCACCCAATTTCCCATGAGAGGTGATGAATCGATTTTTATTGATGTATCGATTTTTTGGCTAAGTACCTCGTCATTTGGTCTGCTTCCAAGTGGCCGATGACAGGCCAAAGTGAACTTTGGCTGCCGAGCTGAGTCGAGCTGGGCAGGCTAGGTGGTGAGCTGCCTATGAGGTGCCGGGCTGACCAGGTGTCGAGCTGCCTATGAGGTGCAAGGCTGACTAGGTGTCGAGTTGCCTGTGAGGTGCTAGGCTAACCAGGTGCCGAGCTACCTATGAGGTGCCGAGTTGCCTAAGTGCCGAGCTGCCTGTGAGGTGCCGGGCTGACCAGAGAGCCAAGCTGCTTGGTGGCGAGTTGAATTGATGAGCTTCGTTGCTCTTTAGAGACCTGCAAGGAACCAAATGTCAGAGGACCCGGGGTGGCTAACCCGGCGAGGTCGCTCCGATGCTTAAGTCGGTACTCTCATAATAGACTGCAAGCTAAAAATCACAAAGTCTGAGAGCTAGAACTTGCTTACTTGCTTACTTGCTTGTTGGCTTGCCATTGGGGTTGGTGCCTTTATATAGACATTGTTTGGCGTGGGCTTCACGCACCATATCCGAGATTTCTGCGATGTCGTCTAAGTGGTTTGAGATTCCTAGAGGTAACCGCCATGCACGTTGACCACCCTCCGAATCGTTCGGCACGTGGGCCAACTTCCAAGGATCGTGGGAGTATTAGGATATACATGCCGAATTTGTCGGTGAGCATGTCTCCCAGGCCACCAGGTCACGCCTATGCCAAGCTGCCAGCTCGTGCCTGTGCCAGGCTGCCAGCTCGCGCCAGGGCCAAGCCGCCAGGTTACACCTGTGCCAGACCGCCAGGTGGGACACCATCAACTTGGCTAAGACAAGTGGTTGCCAAAGTGATTCCGGGTGTCACCTAGTTGTTCTGAGGTGCCATGTGTCACAATGTCATTGGAGGGCAGAATCCACCCTCATCAAGAGGTATCTAGTGAAGAGAAGAGAAACAAAATTTGAGAGAGAGAAAAAAACACAGTGAGCGAGAGACACAAAAAAGAAACATTAGAAAGGGATGGCCTAGCCAGATATAATAGAAGGCAACCGATACCCATTCTAAAGAATGAAAGCAGTCTCGGGGTGAAGGGAGCGAGACAATTTAGCCAAGAATCGAAAATCATTACAGAGTTGGTGCCTTGGGGATCATCACTTCGAAGACTCCGAGGACCACCAAAGCAAATAGAACAAGCCTTGCAAAAGGAGAGGAGCATAACAAAAAGATGAGTAGCAGATTCAACTTAAAAGACAATTGAAAATTGAGATGATATCTCCATGGCTTAACTCGGTACTACTCATCGTAAGGAGAAAACCTGTAAATTAAAAAAAAAGTCTCCAAAGGAATAATTTAAAAATGCAGCTTCCATTTTTTTTTTTTTTTTGTCAAGGAGAGAAGATACTGACCTAGAAAGCTATTAATTAATTCTAAAGGAATAATTTAAAAAAATATATATTTTTTTTGTTCTGTAGTGTGGATGAGAAATTGGTAGGTGTGGACTAGTCCACACTACACCCTGTGGCAGGAACCAATCCATACCACACCATAGTCTACAATTGTTCTGAATTGCGAACAGATTGTGTAAATTGGACCAATTCACACCCACAATGGCATTTTGTAGGCACGGTGTGGACCAGTCCACACTATACTTTTTGATTCCATATATCTCATATATAGTTTATGGATGATTTACACAGTTAATCATAAACATATAATTTTTGCATTTTATATGACAAATATATTAAAAAAAGGCATCAATAAATTAATATTAATTTAAATAAAATAATTAAAAAAAATATATATATATATATATTTAAACTAAAAAACAAACGATCGATTGTTCATATTTTTTAAACAAAACCAAATAACATGAAGTGAATAATAGACTCCAAACATAAAATGAGCTCCATAATATTCACACAATAGAGAAGGATCTAGCATCTTTCAACAGCTAAGAGGGAAAGCACAATACCAAGGGTTTAAAGAACCAAATTAGAAAGAAATTGAAGGGAAGGATATTAAATTTCAGAGAGAGAGTATACATTGACATCTATAGACTATACCGAGGAGGAAGAAAGATCCTCAACATCATAATAGATAGAGGAAAATGCACAAGAAGAAGAGGGTAAGAATAAGATCTATATTTTCCAACAAAAAATGCAAAAAGAGAAAAAAAAAATCCTAACCAAGAAATTAAGATTGCCGTATCACAAGATCAGGCTTGAGAGAAAACTCGAGTTTTCTACATTAGAGCACAACAAGAAGACACAAGGGTTTTCGGATACATATCTACCATGTGAGAGAGAGAGAGATGATGGTGCACGATTTGGAAGTTCCTAGTTGGAGGGCAGTTTGGACGTCAATCTGCTCTATTGGCCGGTCGAACTGCAAGAAAGGGATGTTCAAAGGACTCGGGTGGCTTACTCGGCGTGGGCGCTCTAATGCTTAAGTTAGTATTCTGTAGTGTGAGCTGAAAGTTTGTAGACTAGTAAGCTAGTGAGCAAATAGTCACACGTACCTTATGTCATTGAGGTAGATGCCTTTATATAGGCGAGTTGTTGTGGTCCTCACGAAACACTTCCGAGATCTCTGGCCCGAATCTAGTTGTTAGGAGTCCATTCCACACCAGGAGGTGGACTTCATGCTAGATGATAAAGCTTATCGTGTCTGTCTGATCCATGTGGGATGAGGACGTGCGGCATGATCCCAAAGAACTCAGAGACAGTTGGCTTTCTTCTAGAAGTCACGTGTCACTTCGATAGGGCGGACCATCACAAGCCACTCGGACCTCGGTCCTGGCTGAGGTACCCGAGGTGACATAGCCTACTAAGGTGGCAGGAAGTGCCTTGTTAATGTCCAGTCAGCAAGTCGCGTCCACGTGTCCGCTCATTCAGAGGTTGGGCCAAATCACCCCTCATCATGAGAGAAAGAAACTTACACTGAGTTTTTTCAAATCAAGCATTGATAGGTGGACCGGTGGAGGAGAGCTGTGGTGGAGGAGAGATTCGGCAGTGGAGAGCCTCGGCGGTGGAGAGCTTCGATGGGCGGTAGAGACCTCCAACAGTAAAATGTGAAGCATAATCAACAAGATTTTAAGGAGAATGTGAAGCAAGGGATCAAAGTAAACTGTGGGCAGACCCTAACCATGAGAATTTACCATTGCCACTAAATTGGGGTGTGGACAGACCAGTCCATGATATAATATGGACCGGTCCTGTCCAAAGCCAGCCGAACAAGGAATTCATCCCATGGACTGGACCAAAGCTAATCCATCCATGAAATAAACATGAAACCGAACACCGCCCAAATCTCTTTAGCTTCCAATTTTTTATTCAAAAGAGTAGGAGGGCCTGTTGGATCTCTAAAAGTGCCCAACTGAAATTAAGTTCTAGACATTTAAGATTAAAATTTGATTTATCATGGACCTTTACTACTCCGATATCTTTAACCAGAACATGAAGAGATTTCGCCAAAGCCTTCCAAATTGAAGCTGCAATTTGAGTGATCAGTGGCCAAACTAATTCCTTGCTACTGTTGGACATTCTTTGCTTATTCATTGGAATCGCTTTCATCAGACTTCTCCTTTTTTTTATTATATTATCGCTGATGAAACATATAAAATGCAATTGCCAATGGCTGATTTTGCTACACTTTTCTTCTATATAATTCCTTTAGGTGTGTGACAACAGAGTAAAGATATTTCACATAGGCGCAAAGGGACACGTGTCAATAGACTAAATGAAAGTGTAGGAGATCCAAATTTCCATGGTTTTTTAAAACGAATCGGTGACTGAACCGGTCAGGGGTCCGGTTACCGGTTTGAATGGTCCGATCGTTCGACTCGAATAGTCGGCCCGTTCTAACAAAAAAATAAAAAAAATTTAAAAATTGGAAAATAGTCAAAATCGTTCGAACGGTTAACCAGCCGTTTCAGCAGTTTGCTGACCAAAATTAACGGTTTTAGAGAAAAACAGGTGACCGGCTCCCAAATTTTCTGGTCCGACCATCCAGACCGGTCCAGTTTTGCAAACAGTGGAAATCTCCTCTTTCACCACCACTACCTCATCCTCCTTAGTTATCTTTACTTTCACCTTCAAATTCTCAAATCTAAACAACGCATGGGGTTGGATTGGTAAATTTGGGTTTAAAAATACTCTGACAATTTGGCCGGCTCGGGTCAACTTTTGGGTTGAATGGGCAAAGGATAGAGACCTTAACGGTTTGACCCATGGATTAGATGAGTCAATAGTTGAACCACCGACATCAGTTGGTCATTGATCAAGTCACCATATTTTTACAAAAAATAGAAAAAACGTGTTTAACCATCTGATTTAAATGGTTAATTCATCTAAGCCAACAAATGTTGGTTTGAAAATAGGTGACCCATGACCTGACCCAATCCAAATTCTTTCGGATCGATTAGCCCACCTCCTTAGTTCAGGTCCTAGATAGGGGACTCTAAATCCTTTTTTTCGGGTCATGATTAGGTTTGTGGGTCTAGTTGGGGTATAGGTCAAAGTCCATGTTTTAGAATGAATGGACGTTTTTACAAATACTAAAAGGGGTTCGATGAGATTTAAGATGAATGGACGTTTTTTTTTGAAGCCAAGATAAGTGCAATTCATTACGAAGTGCTTAATGAGCTATCAGAATAGATACATACTTCTTGGACCTTGGTTCGTAGTACTTGACACCGTACATTTTACACATAGCGGGTTTCATTTTAAGGAGAGGAGGAATGCATCTTGACCGTGAATTGATGCTAAATTCACATGTAGGATGTGGTTTATAGGGGAGGAGAGGACTAGTTGTAAGGGGCTGGAATTCAGAATTCTGCATCGTGTGTTTCTATACTTTTCCCTTCATTTATGGCGGGTCTGATGTACGGGGTAAGATGAGAGAATAAAACATGAAAAATACGGAAAATTTTGTTTGAAGTTTCTCGAAATTAGTTTAAAATGGGTTTTTCATGTTTTTTCGGTGCTCCATTTTTTAGTGGCCAAATCTCCTATAAAACAATTGAGAATAGACCAAATATCAGTCTTTTTGGCTTACAGTCAAAAAACCGCAAAAGACACGTCAAACGAGCTGATCGTTATCTGTATCTGTCTGTCTCATGGGAGTCAGGAGAAATTCTCAGGAGTCGGACTTGTGAGTTGTGACCTTAATTTTTGGTTTAGAGTGGGAGTTCTTAACATTTTGAATGTGTATAGCTCTGCATTGAAAATTAGAAATCTGCATTGGGCCTCTCGGGTCTCCCTACAAATAACAAATCTGCATTGTGCCTGTTCGTATTTCTATTTTTCGTGATTTCGTCCTTTGACTTTCCGAGGAGTGAGATACCGACCAGCAGAGCCTGGCAAAGCAAACGCTTTTCCGAACCGGTAAGCCCCCCTTTCGAAACTCTTGTTGACGTTTCGATTGCCAAACTGCTTAAATACTATTCTTTTGGACCCAAATTCTCGAAATCTCACGCGTTGTTTCCTGTACATTTCATTGTGATCTGGAAAGTTTTCTTCTTTTCGGATTTCTTTTCTTTCTCTGCAAAGCCGTAGTTGTATGGAGGCCTTTTGACCGTTGTCTTGTTTTGGATTACTAGGTGTTGGGGAGGTGCTTAGGTTGGGAAACCTCGGATGATTGATCTATAAAAGAATTTTTTACTTGTTTTCTTTGTTGGGTTTGTGTTTAGAATTTTTTTTCCTTCTCTTTGTAACAGAGAAGCATGAACTAGGCATTTTTGTTATTTCTGCTCCCAGCTTTGTTCTTTGTTGATTCGCTGATGATGTTACATGGTGGTCGAATTTCCAATGGTTAATACTTAATACTCTTTTGTTTTTCCTTGTTTGTGTTTCTGGGGGTAGGTGGACTTAACATAAGCATGTAATTTTTTTTTTTGGGGTAAAATCATAAGCATGAGGAGCACTTCTAGGAAACACTGCATGAGAATGATTCATACAGATAGGGAATTGCAACTAATCTCTAAGTATAAAAACTTTGATATAGGGGAATCTACAGGAACATTCAAAAAGGACATGAGAAATGTCCTTTTCTTCTCTTGGGGAATCTAGAGTTGAATCCTAACCGGTTAATGGAAATATCTTTAATCAGAGGAGAGATGGTTACAGCATCATGATTTTCATCCTCTTGCAAGTATCTTCTGAGCTGGCAGAGTGAGAATATGCTTACTTTTTTAAGCATGAAAACAGAAGTCTTGCACAAATGCATCCCCCCCCCCCCCCTAATAGGGATGTGTTCTAATCATTCACTCTCCCTATGTTTAGAAGGAAAACCTCTTTCCATCTTTTCATTATTTTCTTATTGGTTAGATGAAGTCTTGCACAAATTCATCCTCTTGCAAGTATCTTCTGAGCTGGCAGAGTGAGAATATGCTTACTTTTTTAAGCATGAAAACAGAAGTCTTGCACAAATGCATCCCCCCCCCCCCTCCTAATAGGGATGTGTTCTAATCATTCACTCTCCCTATGCTTAGAAGGAAAACCTCTTTCATCTTTTCATTATTTCCTTATTGGTTAGATGATCTGTTTGTTGTTCTCGTACATTTGCAGGAATTTAGCTATTTGAAGTATATGATTCATCTGAACTTTGTCATCAGTTGGATATAAGTGACAACAAGAGAAATAAAGATACAATATATTAAGTGATGTCAAATGTTGCAAATTGTGTTTGATTGGAATATGGTAGAAGTGAAGTAGAATCTTGCTTAATTGACGCTGGCCCATAATATTCTCATCTCTTATGAATTTACTTAGGCTACAGAAGCAAACAAATAGAAAGAAGAATGTCTAGGGGTCAATCGCGTCCAAGAACTCAGCCTAGCAGGAGAACCCTAGAAAGGTGCAAGAAGAAAGACAGAAGTGATTCGGTTGTCTTGATTGATGTTGATGCTGCTAATGTTATCATCCTTGATATTCCTGAGTCTTCTCAACACACACTTCAGGACTCTCTGTTATCTAGGAAAGACAAAACGTTTCCTTCTGGTAGTGTTATTTGCATTGATGATGATGATAATGATAGTCCTGGACATGGTGTTGAAAGTGGTGGGGTTAGGGATAGTGATACCACCTCAAGCAAGGCATCTGATCCTGCTTCTTGCCAGTTTCAAAATTCTGAAAAATCAGATGGTGGCGAGTGTCAGTTCATTTGGGAACGGAAATTCCCTGTGAAATTATCAAAATGTAAGAGGACATACTCTGGAAAAACAGTTTTCTAGAGGTCATTGTACTTTAAATCCTATCTCTGACAGTTGTTCTGAAGGTGACAATTCTGACTGAGCTCATGGAGGGTTCTTTTGGAAACATACGTGAACAGTGGGAACAAGCATCTCTAAAGAGAAAAACCATTGAAGGTTTCTGGGGTGCTCAATCTGGTTTAATAGATCAGGATGTGGCTTTTAAATCTCATGCTGATACTCAAAAGAATGTTGGAGTAGAAAACAGGGCTGACCATCTGGAAAATTCACCAGTTCATTCTACTTCAAGCACTGATGATGTTGAAAAAGAAAATTTTTCTTTCTCATCTGCTAATAATGTTAATGGAGATACTTCTCTCAAATCTGAGAGGGAAACTCTTATTGCAGATTTGGATAGAGTGGTGGAGCAGGAAACAGAGTTTGCTGAGAAAAAATATGGTTCTCAGGACAGTGAAGAACCACTGGAGAAGGATTCATCTTCTTGTGATGGTTGTCATCAATGTGATGCATGTGCTTACTATGATGGATCTAATCTCCAAGGAAAAGACAAAAATGTTTCTGGAGGACATTCATCATGCAAGGAACAGGCTGAAAGATCTAATTATGTAAGAGTTTGTCCTGAGCATGGAGAAGCAAATAATGTCCAGGTACCTTGTGGGTTCAATGCCCAGTCAGTGTATCAGGCGAACTTTAGTGGCAGCAATGTCACTTTCAAGGATAAAGAGGCTTATTTTAGGAATATCCAGCAGTTAGAACAGGTTAATAATGACAGTATCGTCTGGGAGGAGAGAGATGAAGGTATTTATGAAGGACCTCCTTTATGCAACACACATTCATCAAATGAGGCAAAAAAATGTAGTGCTTACTTTGGGGACATGGTGGAACCGGTTTCAGAAGTACCATCTTTCCACAATGTGCAACCATGTTATGAGACAGAGGTTAATTGTGATGTGGCTTCTTCTGGGGAAGAAGATGGATCAGCTCCTTGGATTTTTTCCTGTAACATTCAAATGAGGGATGACTTAGAAGTCAATCATGATGGAGCAAGATATCTGAACAAAGATAAACTTTTTATTAAGGATTCATCTATTTGCAACACTCAACAAAACAAAACACAGGATAAACATATGGAAGATTGTTTTAAGGATGAAAGAAAACTGGTTTGTGAATCACTCTCTAACTCTCAGCCACAGGATGAGAAGAATCCTTCATTACATGCTCAGGATGAGAATGATACACTGAATGTTCAGAATAATCTTGTGAGAGAGAAGTTGAAGGAGACTGATGAGTACAAGCATGCTGCAGAAGAAGAATGGGCAGCCAGACAATGAGAGTTACAGGATCAGGTTTGGAATATCTACATTTTTTTTATTTAGTATTAGGTTTCATGGAATATTTCTAGACTTTGATAGAATATGTAATCAAAACCAGGGCTGGATCTCTAAAATAAAGTAGGTAGGAAGATTTGAGAGAACACTTTGTATTAGAATAATTTTCCCTCCCTTGGATAAGTAATTCTTTTTCCAGCTGGTTAGTTTGGCCCTTATTTATCAATCACTGGGTCCTGGGTTTCCTTTGATTTACAATGGGCACCCAATGGTAGACCCACAAATTTTGAAGAGAGGGAATCCACCTTACAACAAAGCTGTAGCAAGATCATCAATGCCTGGGACCTCCCCAACCGGAACAATAGCACTTTTCTGCAAATTTATCTTTAAACCAGAAACTGCTTGAAAGCAAATTAGTAGACATCAGAGAAAGAGCAGATCTTGGCTAGGTCTAAAGAAAATCAGTGAGTCATTCGCACACTGGAGCAGTGTATTTTGAATTTGATATGTAGGTCATCGGAAATAAGTTGTAGCGACTGCTCAGAATGTGTTTTTTTATGCCAATGTAATCTGCTAGGCCTTCCCAATGTGATCACTGTTTGTTTTAATAAACTCATGGCATATCTTTTGGGAAGACAAAAACTTCAAGCTGGGGGTTATAGGTAGTTAGATGGTTGGCTTTAATTGTCTTTTTTTCCACAACATACTGAAACTATTAAAAGCAGCTTTTACAGTGTTGAAGGAAGTTAATTAAAATTTAAAAAATAGAAGAGTAACCATTAGAATTCAAGCTTAAATCCTCTTTCAATTAGTATTGATGCTTTTTCCTTCAAATATAACTGCAATATACATGGTTATTGGAGATACTTTGATATTCAATATTTGTAAATCAATCATATTTTGGGATTTTTTTTGTTGGCTTTCGGTATCGTCAATATAAATTAGAAAAAAAAATGATGTTAGTTCTCTAAAGGCTGTGCCTGTTCTTTTGCAGGCTGAAGAAGCACAGCAGCTACGGAAGAGAAAAAAGGCTGAAGCTCTGCATTTATTGGACATAGAAAGAAGACAAAAACAAAGGGTGGAAGAAATGCGAGAAATACAAAAGAAGGTTGGTTTAAACATCTTTTTGCTTGCTTTCATTGCTTAGGGCAAGATTTTGGTTAACTGCTTTTCCTTCTTTATATGTTGAATAATGCCAATTCAGGATAAGGAAACTGTAAACTTGAAAGAGCAGCTTCGTGTAGAAGTAAGAAGGGATCTTGATAAATTGGAAGTGCAGTGTACTGATATGGCTTCATTGCTTCGTGGCTTAGGAATCCATGTCAGAGGTGGTTTCTTTCCCATGCCACATGAGGTGAGTTACATGTTTTTCATGTTATTACTTGAAATACTAAATAAATTGGTAAACTGCGGCATCCACAAGTAACCTGACAGGCCTCTTGTATCACTTAAACATCTCATGGACCAAAAGGTTTTAAGTGTTTGGAACTAAGATTGCCAGTCATGATATCTCACATGTTGCACTTGAAAGAATGGTAGGATCCATCCAATGGACGCCATGAAGGTTGCGGAATGGGTGGGCGAATTTCAAAAATTTTCCTACCTTCTCCCAACTGGGAATCATATTCCCTAAATTTAGAATACAATATTCAAGGA